TGGTTCAAAAACCTGACCGCATTGCAGCGGGTTTGGCATTGGGTTACAAGGAAGCTGAGTTTGTCTGGCCTCTAACCATTGACCAATCTGGTATGAGTGGCTCTGAACGTGTAAAAAGAGCACCACGCAGCATAGCCAAATGGATCGCTGGGGCACACAAACCATCGCACCACGGTAAGGTCCAGACTCATTGCGATGGGAGCAGAACCCGAAAACGCATGGGAGTAAGAGACGCAGCGTTGCATGTGTATAGATCGAACCCTAGCCCTGACAGCTGAAGTAACTATGTTGTGTATCGTAATCACTGTATCCCACCTGTACGCGATGAAAAATTAGTACACAAGCAGAGTCTAGCGAAAAGGTTTCGTGTTAACACAAAGCTTCTGTACAGACATGTGGACAGCCTCCGGAATGTGAAACGTGGTGTTCCCCCACTAATATCAGCAGGTGAGCGTACTCAAAGCGCCGAGCATAAGCCATCCTTCTACGACTACAATATGCCCAAATTTTCTGATGTGCTCCAAGCATTTGTAACATAACTGCCCCACTCTCCCAGATGCCAGTCTTTACATACGTCACATTTAATTCAGAGACCTTTTTGAGGAAGCTGCTGTCGTTGCACACCCATAGTTCTCCCGGAGTTGACAACATTTCCCGAAAGCATCGAAGGTGTCAGCTAAGAGAATAACTGAACCATTAACGAGATTTTTCCAAAGATACCTGGACAAACAGCAGATTCCTAATACGTGGATGCAATGAATCAATACCCCGATTTTCAAAAGTGGTAGGCGTTCAGAGCCAGCCAAGTATCGCCCAGTGACTCTCTTCCCGGTGCTCTCTAAGGTGATGGAATCGATCTTATCTGAGGCTGTAATTGTTTTTTTGTAAGGTCTAACATCATAACACCGGAGCAACACGGATTCCGTCAACATTGGTCATGTACTACCAACCTACTGCTTGCCCGTGGCAGTCGGACCGAAATAGCCGACAGTGGGACTGGCATTGAGGTCATTTACCTAGACTTTTCCAAAGCATTCGACTGCATAGATCACCGCATCCTAATTCAAAAGCTGCAAACATACTGACTTGGAAACCCTCTCATTGGTTAGATCGGAAACTTCCTGTTTTGGCAGAACCTTCAGGTTTGAGTTCGAGGTTCATTTTCTGATCCATTTGGTATGGACTGGGGTGTTCCACAAGGGTCGGTGTTAGGGCCAGTGTCAGCAATTCAACTTTGCTGCTTTTTGCCGATGACATCAAGATATGGAGGGCAATGGACTGTCAAGAAGATAACGCTGTGTTGCAACGAGACTTAGACCTTACCTTTGGGTGATCAAAGCTAACTCTAATTCCGTTTAACGGACAAGTGGAAAAAACCGTGCACGTCTGCCACAAACTCACGTACGCATATAAGCTTGGAGACGATATGCTGAATACCGTCACACAAGTGCGAGACGTTGGGGGGGGGGGTAATTCAAGACGACCTCGGCTGTTCGGCGCAGTCATTGAAGGCGTCCAAAACCGCAAACCAACATGTTGGTCTGTTACGGAGGGCTTTCGGGAGTTTCTATCCCTCCATCTTTCCCCAAATGCTCAAGACTTATGTGATGCCCCACGTAGAGTACTCGATCCAGGCTTGGCAACCTTGGTTAAAGCCCGACTTGGTTGCACTGGAGACCGCACAGCCACGGGCAACGAAAAATGTGGAGGGGTTGTCCCATCTGCAATACCATTGGTGCCTGAAAGTGCTGGGAGTGAAAACCGGAAGATATCGCTGTCTACGAGGTGACCTCATCCTGGCGTTTCAGATTTTGCAAACCTTGGTCACGTTTTCCGAGAACTCATGAAGCTTAGCTGCAACACAGAATTGTGGGGTCATAAACTGAAACTTGCCACCCAATACAGTCGGCTGGCGTGCTGCCGGAATTACTTTGCCCTTCGAGTTGGTCCAATCGTGGAACCCTCTTTTCACTTTTGTCAGTTCAGTGCCAACGCTACCCACTTTTACAAAACCACTCAAGAATGCTTTACATCAGTTACCTTACTTGATCTGATTTATGTTCACTGATTGACGACAAGACGCAGACAAACATTGTGTTCACCAATCCCACGAAATCGGGTTAGACGGGTACACCTATGCGTTAAGGTGGGTAATATAGTGAGTCCATAAATATGTTCTTCACTTTTGTACAACTTAATTGAACTAACGTTATTCCCACAAATCATCCTACGGGACTTGTCAAGCCTTTGCCTTTTTATCCGTATTGTACCACTGTTCCATTGGAATGTTACATGAAGTCCCGTACAACGAGTGCTCCGCATGGTAATCGCATACTTAGATGAATACGCATTACTGCAACGCAGAAATTCGGAAACTAAGCAAAGATGTAGACAGTTGCATCTTATTAATCATTGATGTGAACAACCTCCAGAACGCCTTCTGGCAAAACACCTTTATCGACCGCCTTCCTCTCATCTATTCCAACGCGGAATTCCATTTGTGCATATGTAAGTGTATTTGTTCAGCAGAAATCAGTTATCATGTGCGTAGATTGGTATGAACGAGTTAGAAGCATGATACACTCAAACGGCTCGCAAAAGTACAAACATCTTTGGGAGTGCGTATGCGACGGATCTGAAGACAGTTGAGGACAAGAACCATAGTGCGCAGACAAGAAAAATTAGTGTTTTACCAGAGGCGTTATGTGAAGCGAATAGTTCGTTGAAAATGGAAAGAAAGAGCCTATCCAATGCCAAAATTGTCTCATTCTTTGTCAATATCACATACAGATGCGTAGGTAGAGGGGTTTAGTCTGAGAGAATCCGGTAATGTTTCACAATAGAATGGACGCGTGGACGAGACTATAAAAAATTAAGTAAGAATGACCTGCTCAAAATTTATTGTCCTATAGACACTAAACAAATGGAAAAATATACTTATGTGCATAAGCGGATTGGACTGCCATCCACTGGAGAATAGTTCTCAGTTCATTTAGAAGGATTCATTTAAACAACGCTAGTATATCATTTGCAGTTTAAGGATTTTCCGGGTAGAAAAGCGGGGACGTGTGGAACACTGGAAACATATCAGCAGTCAGCGAATAGTTGAAACATGTGCATGTCTTGAATGCTTTCAGGATGTACGGAGCAACCAGGGAGAAGAAAATGGTGGGATAATGTAACAATATCTTTGTTAGTTTAAATAGGAAATAACGAGGCATGCACTGTTCACGTTTACGCCAGAAATAATCTAATGTGTTGGATATGCATTGCCTCCAGGCTTGAAAACGGAAAGCGATGAGGATTGAGAAGGTGCACGATAGCCAGCTATCGATGCACTGGATAAGTGAATTGGGACGGAAGTGAGGATTGGTGCTCAGATTCGAGGGAAACATAAAGGTTTTAGAACTTATTAAGTACACGCAATATGAGAAAGATCACAATCACCAGTGAACTCTCAATTGAGAGATGGAGAGAACATGTCGCATTTGGCCCAGTTGCATGGGTATTTGCTCTGGTATCCAGTGCGGTATCCAGCGGATCCAGCCGCTGTTTACAACAACGTTTGCCGAAACGAGGGATAAGAATCCAAACTAGAAATCGGAACGTCGTTTCACCAATTTCCTGAGTCCATATCAAACGGCGAAACATCGAATCTGTTAACCTTCACTGCAGACTAGAAGTGGAACCGGAATTGGTGGTTTGTTGTAACAGCTCTTTGTACATTCGGGAGTTGAGGAAGCGTAAGTACGAGTCCCGGTGCATCAGTGTATAAATTTGTAATTGAGCCTCGTCAAAAGTGTGAGGTGTTGGTTCTATCATGTTGGCATTGATAATCTCTCTGACCCGTGAGTCCAAACTCACCTGCAATAAGAATGATAAATTTCGTGCATGGAAATCAAAAATAGAAAATACAATGATTTTATATGATGCATAACCAGAGATCAATATTGTACAAGTGAAGTAAAGGTGGGGTGACTAAAACTGCGAACCAACAGGGATCTGGAGTGCAAAAAGAGTAAAAATTATACCAAGTCGGCGAAATTCTGACAATTTAAATTGTCTGATCTAGACGAGTAAGCACAATTGGCAACCGATACTCGATAGATTTGGAAAATATGACCTCTCAACTAAGAAAGTGTTATCTAGACTTTATGTTTGCGACAGAAAAGTTATCATAGGTGGCCATGTAATATTTGGCTCGTGTAAATAAGTAATCTATGCTGATGACGGTACGCAGGCTCTTGATCCATAAATGTAGAAGTGGGTGTTAGCATGTCGAAATTAGATCACGGATTTAATAAAAGTATTCACCCACATGTAAGGCAACCTCAAACTTTGGTATGCAGTTGCTACTAATGACTTTTCAGTACTTAACAGTTACCTAAAAAAAGAATGACTAATTATGGAAAATGATCCATACTGCTCTTCATAAACCTAGTTAATTCATCAGAATAACACAATTGTGAGAACAAACAAGTTTAAGTATTGCCTGGAATTTAAGGCTAGAGCAAGCATATATTAAAAATGTAGTATAATATACTCAATTTACGCTATTATATCGTTTGACTGCATTTCATCGTTGTTTAGGAGAGTTGAGCTTTGTCTGATGCGGTATTTCAGATCTAGTACCTGCACTGACTGGCGTCCTCGAAAGGAGCAAGCGTGCAACTCTGAATAGTCGCGTATCACCTAGAAAAACACCCTTCAGATATGCAATTTAACAAAGATATATCTGGAATATTGTTACCATTTGAGGATTAATGGCTGTTGTATGTTAGACTACAGAACGATACATGCATCACACAGTATAGGATGCTAGTATATACACTTTAGACCAAAAAGTTATTGTCGTGGAAGACTACTCAATACAACTGAGATCTAATGAATAATAAGTAGCTAGAATTAATTATATTTCCATTGATCCGTTCCTATCAAATTTCGTCTTTTGTCCTGGCGATCCGTCCGTTCACCAGACAGAATTTGCGAAAACGATAGCAATCCTGTCCATCCTGGTTGAAATGGCTAAACTACGGACTACGATGTGTCAAACAACGCTTGAGTTTTCGCTTGCAATGAACTGAGTAGTCAGAGGTTGACCAAACAATTATAGTGTTGAATTACACTTGTCATTCAGGTTGTGCCAGAAGGTAAGAAATGGTTGCGTCCAGCTAAAAGAGAATTGCTCTCTGGCTAAACTCCAGTCACACCTCTCACAGTCCGGCTTAACCACAATGACACACTATAGTCCGGTATGTCGAAAGAAACTCACTTAGTTCATTGACAGTGATGAATTGGATGAAATTTACCTTTTACAATTCCAATAAATCCATCATTCCTAAGTATAATTGGTTACTAAATGTAACCTGCAAATTCCTAAATTCATCGACCTATACAGTTTACCATATGAATAAGATCTACGGCTATCGTTCAATAACCACTACAGTACTGAATGCAGAATTTCCTCAACCCGCCATTTAACCATTCGGTACTCAAATAAAAGTACGTTCAACAAAACCTTTTCATAATGCCAAGCTACATGAAGCACTGGTATGACAGCCCTTCCTTCTCATAGCAACACATGCCGGAAATTCCATTAGAGACAACGGTGTTTAAGTCATATGATGGTGCCCCTGCGCTAATAACGGAGGAGGTCCATCGATGAAACGGATATATCGGCCACCTACGAAGCTAATCCGGGTGTAATATTTTACTAGTCGGTTTATCACAATTTATGTGCAGCAGAATAGACGCCAGGCTGTGCTGCATCTATCTGTCGTCCAAACTACGGTGCTTGAAGGGATACCGCGATATTAACTAAAGAAAAAGCCTCAGAGAACCATACTGTTAAAGTGTGAGCGTCACACAAATGCACTTGTTATGTAGAAAATATGTTCCAGAAAATCTGAGAGAAAATTCGACGTAATCGAGCAGCATATATGATGCTCATTTTATGATGCTGGGATATATACTGAAGGGAGTTACAAGACAGCTATTTTAAAAAATATGCCAAATAAGCGCACTAAATACGCCGGATTATGCTGCGTATTGAAAAGAATGTTTAATTTCAACAGGAACAAATCAATAAATCGCGGGGTCAAAGTTGGACTTGGAGGCTCCGCTGGTGGTTGGGTTGCTACAAGCAACCTCTATTGAGACCTCGGTCCACTTGAGATGGACCTCGGTCATTCCGATCACATAGACCGTAAGTAAAATGGAAACATTTTGTGTTGCTCAACTCAACACTGGCACCCGAAGACCGCGGTTTCGTCCTGGTTGGGACTCATCAGTTCGAGATAGCCTGAGTGGGGCCGGAACTCAGAGTCTAGTGGCTCATGGTTGACACATGAGATCCACGAGCAACGCTTGGTCCAGCGAGAACGAATTCAAAGTTGGACTTGGAGGCTCCGCTGGTGGTTGGGTTGCTACAAGCAACCTCTATTGAGACCTCGGTTCACTTGAGGTGGACCTCGGTCATTCCGATCACAAAGACCGTAAGTAAAATGGAAACATTACAGTGTTGGGGTGAGCAACACTATAATGTTTCCATTTTACTTACGGTCTTTGTGATCGGAATGACCGAGGTCCACCTCAAGTGAACCGAGGTCTCAATAGAGGTTGCTTGTAGCAACCCAACCACCAGCGGAGCCTCCAAGTCCAACTTTGCATTCGTTCTCGCTGGACCAAGCGTTGCTCGTGGATCTCAGTGGCATAGTGCTTATGGTGTCAACCATGAGCCACTAGACTCTGAGTTCCGGCCCAACTCAGGCTATCTCGAACTGATGAGTCCCAACCAGGACGAAACCGCGGTCTTCGGGTGCCAGTGTTGGGGTGAGCAACACTATAATGTTTCCATTTTACTTACGGTCTTTGTGATCGGAATGACCGAGGTCCACCTCAAGTGAACCGAGGTCTCAATAGAGGTTGCTTGTAGCAACCCAACCACCAGCGGAGCCTCCAAGTCCAACTTTGCATTCGTTCTCGCTGGACCAAGCGTTGCTCGTGGATCTCAGTGGCATAGTGCTTATGGTGTCAACCATGAGCCACTAGACTCTGAGTTCCGGCCCAACTCAGGCTATCTCGAACTGATGAGTCCCAACCAGGACGAAACCGCGGTCTTCGGGTGCCAGTGTTGGGGTGAGCAACACAAAAATGTTTCCATTTTACTTACGGTCTTTGTGATCGGAATGACCGAGGTCCACCTCAAGTGGACCGAGGTCTCAATAGAGGTTGCTTGTAGCAACCCAACCACCAGCGGAGCCTCCAAGTCCAACTTTGAATTCGTTCTCGCTGGACCAAGCGTTGCTCGTGGATCTCAGTAGCATAGTGCTTATGGTGTCAACCATGAGCCACTAGACTCTGAGTTCCGGCCCCACTCAGGCTATCTCGAACTGATGAGTCCCAACCAGGACGAAACCGCGGTCTTCGGGTGCCAGTGTTGAGTTGAGCAACAATAAAGCGTTTCCAAATCGCGGGGTCATTGAAAGTGGCAAGTATGTACAGGGAAAATCACAGCCAAAGTTGTAGGCCCCGGTAGAAGCAAAGGACGGACAAACTGTTTTTATACGCACAATTCTGGCTTCAGGTGGCGGATGTAGATAGCTTCCGCAATAGACAGAATATGCTTCCGGAATCCGCGCGAGAAACGTTCAGGAACAGTATAGATGACTCTAAAATCATTTTCCGTCCCTGCGTGACTGCACTCTAGAACGTGAGACAAGATGGAACTGTTACTGGACCTCGCTTCGCCTTTGTAAAACGACTGTGGGATGCGTTCAGGAATCCTGTGAGATAGGCGCCCCGTGGTATAACCCACGTATCGTGTACCACAGGAGCACGAGTAAAGATAAACAAGCATTGATCAAGTCACCGGAGACAGCCTGTCTTTTAAACGTTTTGCGAATAAAGGCTTGTTGTAAAATACTATGCGTAGGCGAGCCGCGAAATAGGTCTTTTCAACAGCGTCTTTCAGGCGTTTGGACAGGGCATCAGCCGCCCTGTCACATTTGAATGGAATATGCACAATTAGTTCTTTCTTGGGTACGTTTATCCTCGAAAGTTTTATCTTGCGTTCTTTCAAATGTTTGAGGATGAATTTATCTGGATACCATTCGTTCTAAGCGCGTCGCCCATCCTCTGCAATTCTTTGGTGATTGTGTTCGGTGTGCAAATTCTATGTGCCCGGAAAGCAAGAGTGGGGCTAGAATTCGTTTGTACTGTATGGGTACCGCACTATAAAAGTTGATGTACTGTCCATTCCAAGTTGGTTTTCAATACACTGCTCTGTTGCACGATCCATCGGCGTTTCTGATGATATCAACATCCAGGAACGGTAGTCGCTCCGGTAGTAATTCTACCGTGGCCTACTACTTCGGCTGTGATTTCCCCCGTACATACTTGCCACTTTCAATGACCCCGTAATTTATTGATTTGTTCCTTTTGAAATTAAACATTCTCTTCAATACGCAGCCCAATGCGGCGTATTTAGCACTTTCTCGTCATCGTGTAATGTTTGAGTCTGATGAGAATTACCGAAACGAATGCTTTACTCAGATTCTGCCTCCATTGATTCCTTCTATTAAATGGGAATTTTTGGATTGCCGGAGCTCAGCATTCCCCGTGATTCAGCCAGGCTTTTGGATGCGTATCTGAAGTTCAGTGCTCGGTATGAGGAGGCTGAAGTTGAATTGAAATTCTTCAACGAGTGCTTACAGTCATGTCGGTATCCAATACAATTTTGGAGAGATACACGCCGATGTGGTCTGTATCCGAATGTGCGCAATTTGAGGCGGCACACTCTCAACTATATGAATAACATTCACACGAAATTATCGGAGATAGAAAGATTCATCTCACAACGAATGCATGCCGTCATGGGCTTATCGGAAGAGATACAAAGACCTTTTGAAGCATACGTAGAACAGGTTAAAAAGCAAATGTGTGCACAGAAAAGAGAGAAGTTGCTTAGCTCGCTAAATAGCCAAGTGCCGCAACTGAACTTTCCGCGTAACCCGTAGTGGTATGCGTTTAACCTTTCTAGTATGTTGCATTCTTGATGTTACTTCACCGCAGTTGGGCTAAACAAACTTACACTTAAACTAGGTCTCTTTAAGCTGCATAAATTTCATTCCACTTTATTTGGTTTGTTCTGCCTACCTGAATAATGTTCGATTAACTGGCCACGTCGCTTACGCTAATTGCGCTTATCTTCGGTAATTTTGTTGCGTTTGTAGCATTTGTAAGTAACTTGTGGAGATTACTTACTTATCGCGGGTTCGTTGCTAACCAACTTACTTCATATGCTTATTTAGCTTAGCGTTATGCCACCGTATCTGTATGCATTATTGGATTTGTTTTATTTCATCTTATCGTTCCAGGTGATTGGCTGTTACGTGATATCCCCCGTGTGGCTGCGTTTGATGTGCATGTTGACAAGGTGCCTACCTGTCTATTACCCACTACCTCGTTCATACTGCCTCCAGGAGACAGTTGGTCGTTGCTGGAGGGGACGGGGTGCACGGTCCTTGTGGCCGTGCTAGGCTCGAAGAGTGGTTCCATGCACTCAGTGCGGAGCGGACTACGGTCCAGCCACCGCCTTGTGTGCGGTTGATTCCCCAAATACAGTGTGCTTGTGTTTGCCTGTGAAGGAGTGTGGGCCGGCTCCGTTGATGAAACGTGGCTCCCATCCACATGCCTCCCGGTCTTATTCCCTCGGGTTTACACTGGATATGGGGTGTGTGGTTGGAGCTGTGGGTGGTGCAGCGCAAGCCATCCATGGTCCCTCTGTAGGCGCAGGCGTCCTGTGGCTGGCAACAGTGACAGGCAAATCCGAAACCGGATGCCGCCAACCATGGTGCTTAGTCCAATACTACTAAATCTGTTAACGTTAGACCCTAAGATTTGCCTTCCTTTTAGAAAAGTTGATCAGACTACATTAGAGGTGCAATTTGAGAGCTTCATAGCGCAGGCGCGTGACCTGTCATCAAACTCGCCAGGGGACGTTGAGAACATGTTATCCAGCTTAGTAAACACCTGTCATGATTACATTAAGGCCAGACTAGCCAGTAGTGTTTTTCTTACAAGCGAACATATGCAGTCACTTAGAGAGTTATGGTTAAACAAAGAGTTAATTATCTCTAAGCCGGATAAAGGTTCTGGTATAGTTCTAATGAATAGAACTGATTATGTTAGTAAGATACAACATATTCTTAGTGATGAAAGTAATTTTCAAAAACTAACCCTAGAAAAGGATAATATAGAAGAGTTAGAAAAACAATTGACCGATTCGCTAGGATGAATGATGAAAGCGAATTTTATCACAAAGAGCGAATTTGAAAAGCTGAGACTTTCAGGCGGACATCTACCATGGATGTACGGTCTCCCTAAAGTTCAAAAGGTGGGCGCCCCAATGCGTCCCATACTGGATATGGTTAGCTCTCCGCAACATTTGATAGCTCAATGAATGGCTGAGAAGCTAGAACCGCTGCGTAAAACCTGCACTTACTGCGTGAAATAAACCTTCGAATTCATTGAGAAGATAAGAGGCATGAACCTTAAAAACAAATGGATGTCATCATTTGATGCGCAGTCTTTGTTTACGAATATTCCGTTGTTGGAAATAGTGGAATATGTTTGCGAACTAGTAAGCAACTGAATGTACCTATAAATAGCCCGGACAAGCTCCTGAAGGATTTGTTACTCAGATGCACCTAAAACCGTGCAGTTCACCTTCAACGGGGAGATGTATCGTCAAATTAATGGAGTTGCAATAGGCTCACCATTGGGACCCTTTCTAGCAGATGTCTTTATGGCAAAATTGGAGCATAACGTATTAAGAACGCATATCAACGAAGTCGAGATGTAGATACGTTATGTAGACGACACATTTATACTCTGCAAATCGAAAGCGCAGACTGTGAAACTGTTGGAAGCCTTTAATGATGCGCATCAGAATCTACAATTCACATGTGAGCACGAATCCAGAAACCGACTACCGTTCCTGGACGTTGATATCATCAGAAACGCCGATGGATCGTGCAGCAGAGCAGTGTATAGAAAACCAACTTGGACTGGACAGTACATCAACTTTTATAGTGCGGTACCCATACAGTACAAACGAATTCTAGCCCCACTCTTGCTTTCCAGGCACATAGAATTTGCACACCGGACACAATCACCAAAGAATTGCAGAGGATGGGCGACGCGCTTAGAACGAATGGTATCCAGATAAATTCATCCTCAAACATTTGAAAGAACGCAAGATAAAACCATCGAGGATAAACGTACCCAAGAAAGAACTAATTGTGCATATTCCATTCAAATGTGACAGGGCGGCTGATGCCCTGTCCAAACGCCTGAAAGACGCTGTTGAAAAGACCTATTTCGCGGCTCGCCTACGCATAGTATTTTACAACAAGCCTTTATCTGCAAAACGTTTAAAAGACAGGCTGTCTCCGGTGACTTGATCAATGCTTGTTTATCTTTACTCGTGCTCCTGTGGTACACGATACGTGGGTTATACCACGATGCGCCTATCTCACAGGATTCTTGAACGCATCCCACAGTCGTTTTACAAAGGCGAAGCGAGGTCCAGTAACAGTTCCATCTTGTCTCACGTTCTAGAGTGCAGTCACGCAGGGACGGAAAATGATTTTAGAGTCCTCTATACTGTTCCTGAACGTTTCTCGCGCGGATTCCGGAAGCATATTCTGTCTATTGCGGAAGCTATCTATATCCGCCACCTGAAGCCAGAATTGTGCGTATAAAAACAGTTTGTCCGTCCTTTGCTTCTACCGGGGCCTACAACTTCGGCTGTGATTTTCCCTGTACATACTTGCCACTTTCAATGACCCCGCGATTTATTGATTTGTTCCTGTTGAAATTAAACATTCTTTTCATTACGCAGCATAATCCGGCATATTTAGTACTTCCTCGTCATCGTGTAATATTTTTATCTGATGAGAATTACCGAAACGAATCCTTTACTCAAATTCTGCCTCCCTTGATTCCTTCTATAAGGAATTTTTGGATTGCTGAGGTTCAGCATTGCCCTTGATTCAGTCAAGCTTTTGGATGAGAGTTACCAACTCAGTTTGTCGCGCCCTATTCTTAGTGCTTTCCCTTTGGGTTGTTAGCATTCCAAATCTCGATCCTTCCCTCTCTCATTAATATTTCCATATTTCCTTCATGAGCACTGTGGTCCGTTTCATTATATTCGGCGACCAGATTTTTGTAATTTACTTGCTTACATCGAATAAATGAAAAAGTTGATGGACTGCTAATTTGGCTCTATTTGTATTGCGATTTGAGATGCACCATGCTGTACTTATGAGTTGTATGACCTCAGGTTATATTTACTCCGAGTAAATGCCTCGATATTACATGAGGGAGGCGTGAAGCAGATAAGGTGGAAATGTCAACGCTGGTCTGTAAAGAAGTATGCACACATTATTTATACACAAGCATTCAAGTACTCCAGTTAGGTTTTTTGTTTAACCGGATCAAGTGGTGAAATCCAGCAGCACTGGCGAAATACATGGTTATTTTGTAACAGACACCATAGTAAGCACGCAGATTCCATAGAAACAACAGTTAGAACATCGTGTTTTGTGCCATTCGAAAATGGAAGGAACAAACCTACACTAATTCGGACTTGTCTACAAGCTATGTATAGCGTCTTCACGTGATAACGCATTTCTTTTATCGCTCAAAAACAAATGTCATACTGGATCTAGTGAGCAGAGGTCTGCAATACGAATGTAGTCCGCAAATTATCTCTGTTGGATACTGTATTTGTGAAATAGTCAGGGATGATTCCAGTGCTGTCCGGTCCAAAAACTACGTTTCACGAGCGAATACATTCACATCTGAATCCTTCAGTTAAAGATAGACGGGACTGAGATCTGAACAGTTGACGGTTGACGCCTTCGTCGATAGATCATTAAGCTCCTTGTGCCATCGTTGACACAGCGTTTAGAAATTCTATTCTGTATTATCAGCCATGTGTTTTGGCAGTGACGTGCTGACCCAGTTGGGGCCACAATTAATAATGCAGCCAACCTCGGCCATTCCTATCACAGATGCAACAATAGCACCAGAGAGCACTTGCTGTGTGCAGGAGCAAGCAACGGCACAACTTTCTACTACCAACTCCACCCCGTGGTCGTAATGATCAAGATTTACTTCAACCACTATCCAGATTTATTTGCATGCGACAATTCAAACACATGGCTGACAGTCAACTCATGTCGAAAACAATAAACACAGCCTGTAGGACCATCACGCATTTTGTCCAACCCAAGTTCCCAGTAGCATGCCACCTGATCAGCTGACATTTCCACCAGCCATATCGACGAATATTCAAAACCTCCACACAACACATCATCGATCATAGAACTTTGAAGCTGACTAGCTAAAGAAGCCTTACCATCATCACGCTTCTTTACATGTGCTTCCGTGATTATTCGTGGGCGCATTAAAATACAACATGCTTTTCCTTCTTTATGGCATCCAATTCGAAGGGACATTAACTCTGAACTCCGCACCTAACCAGCGCTCCTACAAACCTTCCTATAGTCAGTGGTTTAGATCACCCCGTTCGTCTCGATGTATAAAATATGCAGCTGAAAATACGTGTATCTTGAAGTATGTACAAAAGTACTACTACTATTAGAGTTACTTTTGAATGTTAGGGGAAAAGCATTTATTGGTTTACACACACGTATAACAGCATTACGTACTATGCTATGTCATAAAGAGTTGCCAAGGAGTATGGTGCCCACATACAGCTCGGTTACTTACTTCTCGTGGGGAGAGAATGGAGATAAAATCTTCGTAGATCATGCGTGCTTTCTCCTCGATCAATTCCGGGTTTGTCTCTTGTTTGAGCTGTTCACATGCGAGCCAAAACATGATATTCTCATCACTGTACTCAGATCGTAGAAATTCACGAAAGACTTTACGACCAGCTGTGGAAAGCGAAATATAATATACACAGAATACAATGTCCTAATCCTTAGTGATCCCATACATCCATCACAGCAGATAATTTAAAAAGGAACATAAGTAAAAAATATCGATAACATCATAAAAACCAGGAGATTATGAAAGCGCACTCGGTAACACGTCCTTTCATATATATTTATAGTAGTTCAGTATCAAATACAGTCTTCACAACATAAATAATACGCTAATATCGCACGGTTATTGTTAGGTGTAGATTTCCTTATTGTTTTATTCGAAAAGTTACGTCCCAGCGAAAACTTCGCTGTGATTATCCCTTCAGAGTACTAAAAACTATTCAAGGAAGACATAATACAACTCATTGCCTTATTCTATCCAACTGTGTGTACAGTCCTAACAATGCGAGGCCGCAACTGGCTGTCAATTTTCAACAGATTCTTCAGTAGAGTGAATCCCAAACATCTCTACGAGGTCGAATTTGCGGCTGTCCCAAATGTTGTCCTTAACTTTACCTGTCAATATTGGCAACCGATGGGATGACAGCTCTGGCGCACACGCAGCTCAGTCAAACACAAAACATCACACTGACATATGAAGCAGACAAGACACTTGACTGGTTGCCCATCGGATTATTGTGGCGAGTGCCGATGTCGACCAGTTGGAATGATTATCACCGACTTTAACGAAAAACAGTGTCAGCTACAAAGAATACATAGTTGGGATAAAGTGTTCTAAAAATTTGCTCAAATATTATAAGAATGGCACTTGTAAACTTTCAATAAAATGTAACAAGTTTTTAATACATGTCTTGGTATGATAATTCATGGTAGCATTTGTTCAGCAGCACTGAGGCATGAATTTGCTGACCGATGACTCTAAGAGAAATACCGTACGCCGCATGTGAACAGAATGGTTCAGGACTCAGAGCCAATTTTATTTGAGGAAAACCAATCCTTTGTATTGAGCATATTAGAAATCAATTCTTCTCTACTTATTACAAAACGCCGACTGGTCATTTTGCCAGTCATGTAGGTCTTTCGCATTTTAACCAGAGTATTGTGTAGTTGGCGGATTTAGTTTTCTAGGTTATCAACAAGAAATATCGGAAGTCCATAAAATGAAATCTGATTATTTGTTTAGTTTACAGAGATTTTAAACTAAGAAGAATCCAGCATGAAAGCACTAAAATGTATGCTTGATAAATTTTTTAAAAATATTTGTTACCAGATTCCAGTCTACTGCTGATACATGTACATTAACTTACCCCAAACTTATACTGCAGATTTATCTTACACTGAAGAGCAAATTGTTTCCAACGTAAATAATCTTAAAGTCCAATGATTTTTTTGGAATAAGTTATTATACTCCACCATAACCATCGTCCATCTCAACCTTATTCGGGCGTTAGCATATACTAAATCGTTTGAATTTTATTCACGGATTACAGTATCCTCAAGTCAGAACTATTTGGGAAGGATTCTATATTATTTTGTGAGCGTTGCTAATTTGAATTCGCTTCAAGCGTCTTCGGAAAGTCCCTCAGTAGAAATATTCGTTGCAAGTGTCGAAGGCACCCATAGGTTAATAAAGATATTGGTTTCTGTAAATTTTGACATGTGTTCCTTGGCTAGCGCGACAAGTATACAGTTGCTTTATGGATTAGAACGAAAGAGGTTGATGGGTGAAATGTTGAGAAGGACTGAGCAGACACTGCGTACGCTGTAATATTCTATCGTCATCTTATGTGATGTTCTACGCTGTGTGATGCTTCTCTATGGCAAGAGACTGAACACTACTTGAATGCTGGTACGACAGCAAGTTAGACCAATAATCGGCAGTTCAGGGAGCCAATATTGCTCTGAATAAGCCACAACTTGTACAAAGCATTGCGCGCCACTGAAATAGCTTGATACCAAAAGACTTGATAAAGAACCCAGCTAGTCGGTTGTCTATTGTCGATGGGATAAGCAAGAACACAAACACTTGATGGTGTCCTAGAATATAGCCCATCTTAACCGGAACGTTTCTAACCTGGTCTACGCCTATTTGTCTTTCTTCATCTAACGCAACCTTTACACTAGTGCGGAGTATTGTTACAGCTACCTGATTTTGCTGGCAAAGTACTATTCATACATTGTAAACCTAACATCAAAAAGTTTTCTTCCTTTTTACTCAGCGTCACACTACTTGTTGTTCGATGAATGCGGGTTGTGTCTGATGCTAATGTGTAATTGACTCAGGCAAAAGTTTAGACCATTTAAAAGTGTGTTAAATTACACATCGCAAAGGTAAGTAATACTCTGAATCCAGTTAGATAATACCTAAATCACAGTAACTCTGCGTTCTAAAGCACAAATCGTGCGGAGGACTACACACTCCATTCGTGTGCACTGTAACTGACAAAAGATTATGGACCTGAATTAGCAATTTGACACAATGATGTTTACCGGTATGGTATCCGTGGCCAATAGTTTAATTTCTTATTGCGCCTTGAAATTATTCCAGCCACAACAAAGGGGACTGTTGATGGTACGTATACCACGCAAACGACCAATGCAAGAATGTGCAACCCCCTTTGCCCCACTATGTGGCGGGAAGAAAAGGCATTCATTGTATGAGAACCGTTTCTAACGACTTAGTACATACCGTTTGTGCTCAATTCATTACACTAACAATGCATCTATTGGGTGCCATACTATCAAAGGGTAACTTCAAATTCAGTAGATAGCGAGCGGCGCAATATCACATCTAGCGGACGATTTACGACGGTAGTTGCAGTTGCCGGAACTTAGTAATTTTAATCTCTAGATTGCTAACAAACTAACACCGGGTTCAAGCCCCAGAGGAGTCAGATAGCACATGCAGTGTCGAAGATTTCCGAAAGGAGCAAACAACATTACAGTTCATTCCTGGATGCGTGGTGGCTGCGTGACTGAGTCTAGATGTGATGAATTTCCACTTGTAGCATCTGTAATTATTATTGCTTGAGTTACCGGATGTCGGGGTAACAGCAGCCACCACAGAAATTGCAGCAAGGCCGAGGTTACGATCCAGAGTGGCATTTGAAGTTGCTAGTTTTGTGTCCCTACTCCGAAATAAAATTGATCGCAGCTAACACATTTAAAACATACTCCAAGAACAAATTATAGAAGTGTCAAATGGATTGGTAATGGTTAGGAAACGATTAATGCGGGCGCTTAAATTTTGCACAAATAAACCATTCTAGCAGTCTGCAACGTAGATCCTCTTTGAATCTGAAATATTTGACAAACAAACATTTACACTTGCTTCCGATATACATTAATTAACTCCCCATCTTCCTTTTGGTAATGAACGCTATGGAATCAACAATCTACTTGGTAAATTGACCCTGTTGGTTTCAAAATATTTCGCCCTTATTAAATTGGTCAATGTAAACAGGAGATCAACCACAATCAGTTAACTGATTATTCTCACATCTGCTACCAATCCCTTGAGCCACTGATCCACTATGGAATATTGAGAAGAAAACCTCAGCGACTTGAGTCTAGTGTATGGAGGTTTTCTTTCTTTTGTGCTATCGTCAACAGAATTTCATACAACCCGCAAGTTTCTAAGACTGGGTCAAAAGCAAATGCAACAAAAACATTTGATCATATAGAACTACCCGTGGCAAAGCATAACCGGTCGCCTGAACTCGGCTTACCACCAAGATTCCATTTGTGATGGCAGCCCAATCAGGCATCAGGCTGTATCCCTCATAACGGAAAAAATGTACGCACTACTCTTTCTAAGTAATAAAGAATTTAGCTTATTTTATAAAATAATAAAGCATGTTTACAACATTCCTTTCTTCAATGGCAAGCGAACTCTGAGTTAAGCCACATTCTGATTTCCAGTCTGAGTTGGAAAACTAACAGGTTTGCCAGTATAATTGTTATAACTCTAAAGGTCGTTCAAAAGGTTTTAATCCACAATAGTTCATTGACGGGCGGAAATGCCTCTGCCTCTTACTTATGGTGCCGTCCGTTTCTAAGTCCGTGTAACAGTTTCACGGCTGTTCGAAATTCGCAAGTAGGTAAGTTTAGTTAGCGCAACCACTCTAACTAATTAGTTGTGTCCGGATGGCTACCGCCTATACCGCTGAGCCGGCAAGAGAAAGCGCATCTATGAACCACTACTAATTAAATAGCTGTGTCTGCCTAGCGGTACTATGTTGTGTTAGGTAAGCGATTGAGTACAAACCAGTTCGATCTAAAATGATATTGAGCAAACCGGATCACCAGTACACAAGTTCATTTTGCATGAGTGTGAGTCGCTACCTTCCACAAATACTAATAATATGTCCTTTTCTGGTTCGATCAAAAAGGATCCGGCCGCATATTAATTTTTGTTGAGAAATTGACGTCTATAAAAATTAGCTGAAATCCCAAATTCACACAACGATATTCCCTTTCAAACAAAAGCATACACTGTAGCATATCTACCTAAATCACCATGTGTCAGCACTCTGCAAGGAAGCATATTTGCTCAGTGGCTTAGATCACTGAGATACGTGGGATGGTAAAAACCACTGTTATAATCAACACGCAGACCAAACGGTCAAGTTTTTTATAAAGTAGTTGGCGGATTAAGTTCGGTAGGTTCGTTGCATAGTTAGAGGGATACCCACTGCGCTGCAAGGTGGCAACTTGCAGTTCAGAGTATGGTGTGCTGCGCTGCATTTCGTCTGTTAACTTAATCACAGCGGTTATTACCGTCCCCTATAATTCATTGGTTTCAACCGAAGAGAGGCAACAGTCGAACTGCCTTTCCGCGACTCACGGAAGTCCAGTGTAAAGCACACTGCTGATGATCCCCAAAAAAGATGAATTATTCGTACAGTGCTTTTCCGGGTGTGTGATGTCTGACAGTCTAAATGTGATGAATCGCTACTTATACTATTTAAGTTCCCTTAACACACCCTTGTATCCTTAGTAATTACTAAGGCAAGTGTAAAGTAGTT